AATTTTTTTTTCAAAAAAAAAAAAAAAAAAAAAAAGTATAAAATGTTTCAGAATAAGTATAATGATAGTGAAAAAAATAATAAATATAAAACATATAATTATTGTAGAAATTATGTAAACGATGTAAAAAACAAATACATGGGGTTTTCAAATATATACAAAAATAGCCCCAATAAATACTATTATGATTCCAAAAAAAATTATAATCAATACAGATATAATAATACTTATAATTTCAAATTAAGAAATAAGAGAAATAGAAGTTATAGAAGTATAAGTAATTCGAATTATAGGAGTAAATTTACGAAATATAAAAATTATGATATTAAGGAAAACATAAGAGAATATGATAGAAGAAAACGTAGTTTTTCATCTTTGAAGAGAGCATATAACAAAGATCAGCGAAATCATAAATATTATGTAGAATCCAGATATAATGAAGATCATAAAAATAAATATGTAAAAAATTATAATTTATCAAAAAAAAGAAACTATTATTCTTATAAAAAAAGGATATATAGCGATAAAAGAAATTTTGACACTCATTATGGACAAGGGAACATTTTTTATAATAATGAATATTATCTAATTAATGATAGATCAAGTTTAAAGAAGAAAAAAACGTATAATGGAAAATATAGTTTTAAAAGTAATTCAAGAAGTTATAATAGCCATTTAGAAAATAAAAATAAAAAAATATTAAGTAGTAGAAATAATAAATATACAAATAGTGATGTGATAGGAAAAATGGATGAGATAAATTTTAGGGACAAAACTGATAATTTGCATAAGTTAAAAAGTTTTGATACAAAAGGTAGCCTAAAAAGAGAGAAAATGGTTTATGAAAAGGAGAATCGTACTAATATGTATAGAGATAAAATAATTAGAGGTTCAGAAATGTCTCATAATAATTATACGAAAAGAACTAGGAAAAGAGGGAAAGATAACAGTAGATCTTCAAAAAATAGTAACTTTATGCAAAAAAAAAAAGTACATGTAGATAAATTAAATGAAACATATAAAAAGACTATTTCAAAAAAATCAAATGATACTTATTCTCGAAAAAAGAATGTTCATAAGAGAAACAGAACGAAAAATAGTGAAACTGAGGAGAAAAAAGAAAAAAAAAAAAAAAAAAATAAAAAAGAAAATGATTCTGACGATGAAATTATTCACTTTCATTGGAAAAAAGGGATGATTTTAAATGACTGTTATATAGTTATACGTAAGATGGGAGATGGAACATTTGGTAGAGTTTTATTGTGCCAGCATGTAGATACCAAAAAATATTATGCAATAAAAGTAGTTAGGAATATTAAAAAATATACTAAATCAGCAAAAATTGAAGCAGATATTTTGAAAAAAATCCAAAATGATGATACAAAAAATAGTAATATTGTTAAGTTTTATGGAAGATTTATGTATCATGATCACATGTGTTTAATATTTGAGCCATTAGGACCCTCTTTGTACGAAATTATAACCAAAAATAATTACAATGGATTTCATATACAAGATATTAAACTTTATTGTATAGAAATTTTAAAAGCACTAAATTACCTTAGAAAAATAACTCTTACGCATACTGATTTAAAACCAGAAAATATCTTGTTGGATGATCCATATTTTGAAAAAACTTTAATAACTGTTAGAAGAGCAACTGATGGAAAGAAAGTTCAAATCTATAAAACAAAATCAACAGGTATCAAATTGATTGATTTTGGTTGTGCAACCTTTAAAAATGATTATCATGGTTCAATAATTAATACGAGACAATATAGAGCACCTGAAGTTATCTTAAATTTAGGATGGGATGTATCCAGTGATATGTGGAGTTTCGGTTGTGTTTTGGCTGAATTATATACTGGTTCATTGTTGTTTAGAACTCATGAGCATTTAGAACATTTAGCTATGATGGAAAGTATAATTCATCCAATACCAAAAAGAATGCTATATGAAGCTATGAAAACAAATGGATCAAAATATGTAAATAAAGAACAATTAAAATTGGCGTGGCCAGAAAATGCTTCTAGCGTTAATTCTATTAAACACGTTAAAAAATGCTTACCTTTATATAAAATAATTAAACATGAATTATTTTGTGACTTTTTATATAATATATTGCAAATTGATCCTAGTCTTAGACCTACCCCTGCAGAATTATTGAAACACAAATTTCTCCAAGAAGATTATGAATATTTGATTCCATCTTAATTTGCACATATTTTTAAGAAGAATAAGAAATAAAAATAAATAAAATTAAAAAAAAAAAAAAAATAATTTTATTATCATTATTATCTATTTTTTTTTTTTTTTTTTTCTTTCATTTAAATTCATGTGAACTTTATTATTCTTATTTTTTCATTTGTGATCATTTTTAAATTCTTTACTACTTATTTGTATTTTTAGTTTTTTTTTTTTTTTTATTTAAGAGTATACTTTATAAAACGAATTAGTTATTATAAATTTTAAAATTATACATGTATTCATAGATAGTTAAGTTAATTGTTCAATGATATTATTCAAAGATAATTATAAAAATTGTGATTTTTTTTATTTTGTGGGAAAAAAATTTTTTAAAAATATATTATGTCAAAATATAATTTATTTCTCTATAAAAATTTTTTTTTTTTATTGTTTTTTCTATATATTATATATTACACAAAATTTTGTTAAATCTTTTTTATGGATAAAATATATTCCTATATTTAAGCTATTAAGTTTTTAATTTTTGCAAAAAATAAAAAAAAAAAACTTAGAAAAATGATATAGATAAGAAATGAAAATGCAAAAATAATGATATGAATTTGGGAAATAACGAATAAAAAAAGCATAACAAAAAAAAAAAAAAAATGAAAGTCCATAAATGATACTATAGTAAATGAGAGTTGGTAATCATAAGAAAAATGAAGAAAATTTTTACAAAAATATATGAGGAAAATTAATGATAAAAACATGAAGTGTTTATAAAAAAAAAAAATATTTTAAAGAAAGGTATAATAGTAATAAAATAAAAATTAAAAAACTTATATAAACGAAAAAAAAAAAATAAAAAAAATTTTATGAATTAAAATAAGATGAAAGAATCTTTGTCACAAATTTCCTCAGTATAGAGTTGTCAAAAGTTTTCGTGCCTGAAAGCCATTTCCGCCTAATAAAAAAAAAAAAAAAAAAAACCAAGTTATTTATACATATGAACATATAATTTAAAAAAAAAAATGTATTATAACCTGTTAACATGTAGAAGTATTCTAATTTATTAATATCAAAATTATAAATAATATTTTGATTGAATAAATGACTAACATAATTTTTAAACTCCCTTAAAGTAAAATTACGAACTGTTTTGACTTCTTTCTTTTGTATTCCTAATAGTTCAGGTCTAAAATCTCTTCTATTTTCTCTATCCCAACATGTAGCAACAATTTTAAAGCATCTTTTATACTTTGAGGTATCCCATTGCAGTAATAATTTTGGTATAGTTAAATAATATGTAGGTATATAACCATTATATTTTGTATTTTCAAAATTTATAGATAAATATTCAGAAACACTTAAATTGTAATTAAACTGGTCTACTGCTATTAATAAAGGGAATTTTGTTTGTTTTTTCAAGTGTTCAAATAAAGCATAAACGCATAGATTTGAATATGCAGCATTATTTATACCTATAGTTGCCAATTCTAATAAATTAGAAGGCATAGAAAATTTATCTAATAAATTTGGTATTTTAACATTATCATAGTAAAATTTATATAATTTTTGTCTAAACATATTTTTTTCTTTTTCATTTAAATTATTATAATTTTCATCTCCTTTTATTTCTGTATCTACAGTTTTTTTAATTATATCATCATATATTCTTTTATTGTATAATAAGTGTGTCCCATCTAAACAAGTGTTATATAAAATTTCTCTATTTACTTTTATTTCTCTTAAAAAATTTTCGTTAACTTTTACTATATCTTCAAGGAATTGTCTACTTAATTCTGGTTGAATATATAAATTTGTATTACTACGAACAATATTATTTATATCAAATTTATATTTTTTTATATCTGGTATAAATATAACAAACCAATTATTTAATTTAGCCCACAAAATCACACTATTTAAGATGCAACTTTTTCCAGTTCCTCTTTTTCCATCTATTAAGATACTCCTATTTCTATAAGAATATATTTTATTGCTATCTTTGCAACTATTTATATTATTAATAGTAGCATTTGTAGTAGAAGAATTAATCTTCATTTCTTCATTTAATTCATAATTATTTTCATTTATACTTTCTTTATCATAATATGGAGAAAAACTATTTTTTTGTAAAAAATAATTATCTAAATTGTAGGAATCTCTTTGTTCCTTTAATTTAAAACCTTCTTCACAATATTTTAATTCATTTATAATTTCATAAGTTAATTTTCTATATAATAAGCCTACTCCTTTCATTCTTTCAAAATTTTTTATTTTATTTTTGTCATACAAATTTTTTTCTTTCAATTCATTAAGAAATATTTCATAATTGTCATTATCACTGTTATGCATTAAAATGTCCTTATGCAGTTCCCCTGCTAATCCTTCAGAAAAAAATTTATGCAAATACTCTTTTTCAAATAAAAAATATTTATCTACATTTTCAATATTAAAATCAGATAATGAGATATTTTTTATTTTATCATTTTCTACATTAATATACATCTCACAATTAAAAAAAAAGTCACGTAAATTTCTTTTTTCCTTGCTTACTTCAATATTTAATAACTTTTTATATCTATCTTCATCATATGGATATGCAACTAATTCTTTATTAAATATTTTGTGTAAATCATCCTCATTTTTCTTAATTGTTTCTCTGTATATTTTGTGTACTTTTGTATTATTAGAAATAGAAGGAATATTATATGTATTAAATTTCCGAATAAAAAAGTTTGCTTTTTTCATATTTTAAGTAAAAAAGGGTCTTTTTCATATATATCCAAAGCAAAAATAATTTAAAAAAAAAAAAAAATAATAAAATATTTGTTACTAATATAAAAACTATTAATAATTAAATTAAAAATATGATGTTTTCAGTTTAAAATTTATATATATGATAAACAATTAAAAAAAATAAAATAATAAAAAAATAATTTTATTTTCATATCATTAAGTAGAAATATAACACGAAAAATTATAAAAAAAAAAAAAAAAAAAAATAAAAATATACTTATAAAAATTTCTATTATTAAAACTCCTAGAAATTATTACAAAAAATGGGATTAAAAAGAAAATTAAATTCAATAATTGAAAAAATAAAACACATATAATATTTTTAGATGTATGGATAATTAGGAATATTCTATATAGTTCATTATGCATTTATTTATTTTTTAAAAAGATAAAATAACATTTTATAAAACTTTTCAACAAAATATTTATTTTCAAGATAATACTACTTAAAAATTATTATCTACCAATGATAAAAATATTTCGAAATGAAATAACATATTATCAATATTTATTAAAATAACTTTTTATTAAATTAAAGGTTTTATTAATATTTAAAGTTTCTATAATTTATCTGAGAATTTACCTTATAACTATTTTATTATTTTAATTATTTTATTTTTTTTATGCCAAAATTTTATAATATTTAAAAATAAAAGATTACGTATTTTTATGTATTAATTATAAGAAATGAATGAAATAATCATTATAACAAAAAAAAAAAAAAAAAAAAAAAAAAAAAATTCAAATACTTTGATTTTTATATACCAAAACAATAATAAAAAAGGTGTTCAAATTAAAGATTAATTATGATTTGTTTATAAAAAATGTTATATATATAAAAAATTTAAAAAATTAACAATATTTAAGTTTTATAAAACTTAAGGAATTTTTTTTTCCTGCAAGTCTAAATTAAAATGTGTAAATTTTAATTATATATATATATATAATGTTAACACTATATTTTGAATTTTTTATTATTGTTTTATTACTAAGATATAACTTAATTTCAATTTTTATATAATAATTTATGTAACTGTTTTTTTAAATGAAGTAAATTCCTAAAAACTTTTTCATTACTTTTTTTATCTGATTCATGATACTCAGAATCAGAACTACTTTCTTCATCTACTAAATCTGCTTCCTCAGCTAATTTACTTAAAAAAGATTTATTTTTATTTTCTTTTAATTTTTTTTGTAATTCTAACATTTCGTTACAACAAGCAATTGCCTTATTTATGTTGTCATAATCATTATCCCTTATATTTTTTATCATTTCAAACTCTTTTAGGTTTTGTAAATTTAAACCTATTTTTTTCAATGAAGAATTCCATTTTAAAATTTCATCGTCAGATACAAAACAAATACATTTTCCTAAAGAAAAAAATTTATATATATTTAATATAAATAAAATATAAAAAAATAATTTTCATATATATATATATATATATATATATATATATATATATATATATATATATATATTTATACCTTTTTTAAAATTTCTAGCTGTTCGTCCAGATCTATGAACAAATGTAATATCAGTAATTGGACAATTTAACTGAACTATTAAATCACATTTATCTAAATCTATTCCTCTACTTAATACATCCGTACAAAATAGCACAGATTTATTATTAGATTCTGAAAATTTAGTTATATTTGCAATTCTTTCTTTTAATTTTAGTTTTGAATGTATACTATATATATTTATTTTACTTTTTAAAAATAAATTACTTCTAAATTTTTTTGGTATAGCTGATTCTAAACTTGGATCAAAAAATAAAAATCTGAATATCATTTTTAACTCTTTTGTACTATTAATTGTATTAACAAAAATAATAATTTTCTTTATTTCCTCTTCATTATCCATTTCATTAAAGAAATACAACTTTAATAAATAGAAAAGTTTTATCAAAACCATTTTTTTTTCACATTTAACTATGTTTAAAGTAAGTCCATCAGGCAATATGTTAAAATTGTCATTATTTAAATGATCACCTGATAAATTAATGAAAAACGATTTTTCTTTTCTTATGATAATAGAATTTAATAATTTCGATAAATTTTCATTTTGCAACTGAACTGTTAATCCTAATGTAGCTGATAGTAGGAATGTTTGCACATATTTTTTTTTATCATTTACACATTTATATAAACGTTTTACAATAAAATTTATATCATTTATAAAAGAACTTTCAATCATTTTATCTACTTCATCGCAAGCTAAATATCTTATGTTTTTCATTTCATATATATAATCAATTTTTTCTTCTAATTCTAAAAAAAATCTTAATCTTCCTGGTGTACATATAATTACTTCAGGTTTCTTTGATATAATTCTTTTTTGCTTATTAACATTTAAACCTCCTATTATAGTTGTAATATATAAATTAATATATTTATTTATAAAGCTAAAATGATTTAAAATCTGTAATGCTAATTCTCTTGTTGGAACTAATATTAAACACCTAAATTTTTGTTTACATTTTTTGTTTTTCTTATATTCATTTAGTTTATTTATTACTATATTATTTAATATCGCTAAACAAAAAGTTAATGTCTTTCCTGTTCCTGTTTTTGAAATAACAATTACATCTTTTTTATAATTTATTGAATGCTCTAATGTTTTAAATTGAATTTCGGTAGGTTTAAAAAAATTACTGTCATACAATGATTTCATAATGCTATAGAGAACATTAATTTTACCATTTAAAGTCCATTTTCTATATTGTATTATATATTTAACATCATCAATATTCTTAAATTTCTCTTCATTTTCAATTATTGTATTTATATCAAAAATTTCTTTTTTTTTTATTATTTTAATACTTTTTTCTTTAATATTTTTTAGATTACCATTATTTTTGTAATTTTTTAATTTCCTTTTTTCCTTTTTTTTTATTTTTTTGTTTATAACTGTAGAACATTTTGATTTAACATTTTTTTTTTCATCTTCATTATGCTTATTCTTTTTTATATAGCTTATTTCATTCTTATTTATTTTTTTTTTTGCATTTGTATCTGATATATCTTTTAATTTAATACTTGACTTATTTTTTAATTTTGGTGTAATTTTATCTACACATTTGCTATTTTTCTTTTTTTTTTTTAAAAATAATTTCTCATTTTCTTTCTTTTCATTATATTTCGTATTATCTTCTTTCTTTCTCTTTTTTTTTAAGTTCTTGTTAAAGTTAATTTTATATTCATTTGTATCCTTTTTTATGTTATCTTCATTTAGAATTTTAATACTACTAGAATCAGCTTCTTCTATAGATATTAATCCTTCCTTTTTCAACCTTCAAAAAAAAAAAAAAAAAAAGATAATAAAATATAAGACAAAAAAAATAATATAAATATACAAAATAAAATAAAAAAAAAAAAAAAAAGTCAAAAGGAATATATAGAATATATAATTACAAATGTAATATTCAAATGCACATGCAAAATTCATATAGTAATTATTTCCATATTTAATGTTCTTTATTTTATAATACTATATTTATCTTAAATATTCAGATTTGTTAATATTATTTAAGAAATTCATATATAATAAAAAATAAAATATATTATTTTATTTTATATATAAATAAAAAGGAAACAGGATAATTTCAATAAATAAAAACAGAAAAGAAATAGAAATATAATAATATTATTTAAATATGTATATTCTATATATTTATTGTACGTTTTTAAAAGGGAAGGTTTTATCTTAACTGGCTTAAAAATCATTTTTTTTTTGTATCTTTTTTAAACTGAATTCCAATTTTTTTATGATAAGAAAAAAAAATTTTAAAAAAGAAACAATAAAAAAAAAAAAAATTAAAGCATTATATATTTTCAATATTATCAAAAAGTATAATATAAATAAAAAACAATATATATATATATGAGAAGTATGACTTTCGGTTGTAATATAAAATATTTAACAGGTTGAACATGAAAAAAAATTAAATAAAATTAAATAAAAAAAAATCAAATGAGTTAAAATGTAGAAAAAAAATGAAAATTATGAGTGGAAATATATAGTATAAATAGGTTTACATAATAATTAATTCTATCATCTTTTCGCATGATATTTACTAATTTTTTATTTTCTTGCATTTTATAAAAATGTAAACATACAAAAAAAAAAAAAAAAAAAATAAAAATAAAAAAAAAAAAAAAAATTAAATAAAATAAAATAAAATAAAATAATAAAAATATGTGATTATTCATCTTCTTTTAACAATCATATATATAAGAAAAAATAAATTGCCTATTTTTTTTTTTCTTTTTAATACATACATTAAAAATTATAACTCTTAGCTCCTTTTAAATATTTCCTTTTTATGTCATTAAGGAAGAATTTTCAGTTTACTTTTGTTAAATCCTTTTATTCATTTAGTGTAATAAGCGAAATTAAACCTTTACTGTTAAGTAGTAGTTTTAAAAAAATAAAAAGTTATGATTTAAAGATGAATATATGTATTTACAAAAATAAAGTGTTTAATACTAAAGATGTTATTGATGTAAGTATAAATCAAAAGGATTTAAAAGTAGAATTATCAAGTTTTAAGGATGATTTTTATAAAATTAAAAAAGAATGTATAAATATTAATGAATTAAAAGAAATTGATGAATCATGCACCAATACAAAAGGACTTAATGAAAAAGAGAAAGACGAAATAAATGTATTAAAATATGATGTTGATGAATTAAGATGTTTATATTTTTTTTTCTTAGTACATTTATTAAGATTTAAAAATAATTTAGACTTAAATTTAATAAAAAATATTTGTAGTGAAATTAATAATGTCATATCATCAAATGTTTCTTATAAAAATAACTGTTTACATAGTGTAAATTTAAAAAATTTCTTTATTAATATTTTAAAAAATTCTGGTAAAGTAGAATATAATTTAAAAGATTTCTATTCTTCCATAAGTATCGTCATTGAAAAATGCAGTATTTTGTTTTTAAATACATATAAAACAATTTCTTTATGTAAATACTTAACTTGTTGTTTATGTAATATTTTTGAATTATTTAATTTGAATTGTGATGTTCTGTTTAAAAACTCATTTAACAACAATGTAAATAATAGCAATATTTATTCGATTAACAGTTTGATAGCCAATATTAAATGGATGATTCATGATTCTAAAATTGATAAAAATAATGAATTGTCTAAAAATTTTAGTTCAAATATGTTATTATTTATTTACACACAAAGTAAATTAGTAGATGAATGTGAATATTTTATAAATTTAATTAACCAAAATTTCAAAAATTGTATTGATAATTGTAAAAATGAATACTATGAAGAAATGAATTCCTTGAATTTGTATATTGATGTCTTATGCAAAAATATCAATGAAAATATTAATGCTCATATAGGAAATATATTGGATATTGCAAATAAAATATTACCATTATATATAAATAAATTAAAAGATTTTCATCTTTCGAATGAAGTAATCATAAATGAAAATACTGATTTAAAAAAACCACCTTCAAATGGATTTATTTTTGATTTGGAAATTAAAGATAATTCAGAGTTTCCACTTTTAGGGGTATATAAGAATTATTTAAGAAATATTCAAAATATGATTAATGAAGTCGCCAGAAAAAACGAATTACAAAAAATTAAAGAAATGAATATAGCATTTAATAATTTGCTAATTTTTTTAACAGACATTATTATACATATGAACATCATATATGATATAAAGGCTTATAACAAAGCAGTATCACAAATTATGAAAAACAAAAAAGTTTCTAGTTCTATACATAATATAGGAATTGGATGTCTTGATTTTAAAAACTTTCTGTATTCTTTGATTTCAAATAATAACTCAAAATTAAAATTAGAAAATGAAATAATGAAAGATAATAAAATTATAACTAATCGTTTTTTTAATTTTCTAAATGATCATTTTTCACCATATAAATTTGAAGAAGTAATAAACGAATTATTAATGCCAAAAAATATAAACTTCAACCTTAAGGTTCCTAAAGGAACAAAAGATTTTACTGGAGAAGACATGCAATTAAGAAATATTTTTTTTGATTTTATTAAAAAAAAATTTTTAATACATGGTGCAGTTGAAATAGATACACCTGTATTTGAATTAAAAGAAACATTAACAGATAAATATGGAGAAGATTCCAAATTAATTTTTGATTTAAAAGATCAAGGAGGAGAAAATTTATCCTTGAGATATGACTTAACTGTACCATTATATCGTTTTGTTAATACTAATGATATTAATCAATTAAAAAGATTTCATATAGGAAAGGTGTATAGAAGAGATGAACCAAGTATGAATAGAGGTAGATTTAGAGAATTTTATCAATGTGATTTTGATATTGTAGGAAAGTATGACAAACTTCGCACCGACTTTCATATATTATATATTTTTTGGGACATATTAAGTAACTTAAAAAATGTTATTGGTAATTTTAACTGTAAACTTAATCATAGAAAAGTTTTAGAATATATGTTAGTTTCATCTAATATTCCCAAAGATAAAGTTAAAACGATATCTAGTAGTATAGACAAATTGGATAAAATAACATTTCATCAATTTAGAGAAGAGTTATTAAATGAAAAAGGTATCCCTGTTGAATCAGTTGATAAAATAGAAGAATACATTTCTAAAACACTTAGTTTATCTCCGTTTTTAGTCATTGAATTTCTTAGAAATGATTTAAATCAATCAGAAATTGATGAAACATATAAAAATGAAGTTCACGAAGTTATAAATCATTTAGAACAAATATTTGAGTTGCTAAAACATTTTAATATGGTTAATCAATTTACATTCGATCTAACTCTAGCAAGAGGACTTGATTATTACACTGGTATAATTTTTGAATTCGTTCTCTTGTCAGAAACAAATGTAGGAAGTATAGCAGCAGGAGGAAGATATGATTACTTAATCAGAAACAAGAGAAAAGAGTATATTCCATCAGTTGGTGCATCTATTGGTATTGAAAGAATTATAACAATTGCTGAACAATTCATAAAAAATAAAGGTTTATTTTTAACAGGTAATGAATATAAAAATGAGTTAGTAGATAAAGAAATTAACAATAGTAATGTCTCAAAACTAAATTTGAAAGATAATTCAATAGAAGTTCTTGTATGCAATATAAAAAAAAATTGCTTTAAAGAGACAATAGAATTATGTAAGAAATTATGGGAACAAGATATTTCTACTGAGTTTATATATGTGAATGATCAAAGGATACAAAAGCAACTTGTTTATGCTTTAGAAAAACAAATACCCCTAGTTGTTATTATAGGTGATGAAATTGAAAAAGGAATTGTAAAATTACGAGAATTAACCTTAGATAAAAATAAATCAGTAGGTGAAAAAGAAATAAATATAGATAATTGTATTAATGAAATAAAAAATTATTTTGCATGTAATTTATCATGGAAACAAAATATTACGAACATTTTATTTGAAAAAAAGACTAAATAACTAAAAAGAATATATTAATATTTTCTAATTATGTTCCATATATAGTTTAAAAATTTTTTAAATATAAAGAATGACTCTTATTTTCTCTTTTTGCTTCATTTATATTTAAAAAAAAAAAAAAAAAAAAAAAATTTAATTTTAAAAAATTAAAGATAATTATTTCTTTTATTTTTGTTTATTATATAAAAAAGAAAAAAAAAAAAAATGATTTATTTATGATAATAAATTTAATATTGTAGCTTTTAAAAAATAATTGTAAACAAAATAATTTTAACTATAATTTATTTTTTTTCTAATCATTTAATTTTTTAATATGAAACATTCAAGCAAAAAAAAAAAAAGTGTATTCTTTTGTAGCATATGTTTTTTTAATGAATTAAAAATATATTGAAAATAAGAATGAGAATACAATCTTATATTTTTTTTGTATAAAAAATAATTAAAATATGTTAAAGCACTTTTATCCATAAAAAAAAATATATATATATATATATAATTATGCAAAAAAAAAAGGATTCATAAAGTAAATATTATGTGAATATAATATATAAAATATGCAAATATAAATATATATATTAGCTTTTGTGTATACACTTCATTATGCACTAAATTTATAATTATCCTGATAATTTTTGATTATGAATGTTTTTCTTATAATATTTATTAAATTCATGAAGTATTTTTAGTTAAAAAATGATATATGAAAATAAAACAAGAAAAAAATTTCATATGAACATTTTTTTTTCATGGTTATTTTCCAAACTTGCTTCACTAGGGAAAAAATTAAAATAAAAGATGATATCAATTTTTATATGCATATAAAATTCTTGTTTATAGATCTTATTTAATTCAAATTACCTTTTATATATATAATACTTAAAAAGGAAAATAAATTATTAACACATTTTTTTTTTTTTTTTTTTTTTTTTTGATATGGACGTTGAATGGGATAATGAAACAATTAACAAATTTTATAATTATTTATTTGAATTAATTAATTATGAAAAATGCTTGGAGTTAGAAAAAGACATAAGAATAGAAACAGGAACAGAAAGTGTATTAAATATAAATTCACAATTAAATGAAAACGCTAATAATAAAATAAATATATGTACGTACAAATTTAAAAAGAATGAAGATGACATAGTAGGTGAAATTTTAGATAATGAAAAACAAGAGGAAAATATAAAAAATTCTATACCATTATTAACTAAAAAAGCTTTTATAATTTATACTAATGTAATTGATAAAGCAAAATCTGAAGGAACAAATAGTATTAATTTAGAAACAGATCATTTTTTAAGAACAGATATATTTAAACTTGTTTTTAATAAATATATTATTTATAATACAAAAGTAAAAATTAAAGAAATTCATTGTAAGAATACAAAAAACATTGTTTCTTTAGCAAACCCCTTAAATATAAAAGATTATGATTTAAATAAAATAAATAGTGAAACAATTGCAAATTTAATGAATAACAATGTAGGTATTCAAACAAATTTTATGGGGAAAGAGTGTATGAAACTCATTTATGATGAACTGATATTTATTGAATACAATAATCAATTTAATGAATTTAGTAGAGAATACAGAAATATAAGGACTGATTTTTATTGTTGGACATATATATCAAGTTTAGATAGAGAAAAACAAAAAGGTTTACTTAAATTATTAAAAGAATTATCATTAATTCCATATGAATTAAATAAAAAAGCAAATTTATCTTTACAAGTTTGTACTTTATTTCAATTTTTATACTTTTGTCCAAATAAATCATTTTTAAAAAAACATTCTGAAGGAGGATATGGAAAATTAGATAATGGGAAAAAAATTACTTGTATATATATTCCTTTAGTTCATTCAAACAATGATATAGAAATTAAAATATATAATAATGAAGATAATTTAAATGAACCAAACAAAATAAATAATAATGATACTAATACAAACTTATTAAATAAAATGGATAACACTCCAATTAAGATAATAAAACCAGAAAGTGATTCACTGATTTTTTTACAAACAAGAAATATTTCATATGAAATTCCAAAAACAAAAAATAAATTTTTTATTGTCAACCTATGGATTTCTGGTCCTGCCTCACTTGAAAAAAAATTATAAAAATTATATATATTAAGGTTTTTTTAAGAATATTTTTCACTTTAAAGAAACAAATTATTACTTAAAAAAAAAAAAAAATTATTAAATTAGAAAAATATAAAAAATTAAAAATAAAAACAAAAAAAAAAAAAAAAAAATAAAACATAATAAAATAAAAATAGATATATGTAATACGATTAAAATTAGTCATTTAATTTATATTAATATAGTTAAAATTTTTATTCTATATTACGAATTATATATTTTTATATACTTTAATAATTTTTTTTTTTTTTTTTTTTAATGTTTGTCAAATTTCTAATTATTGTATCAAAAATCTTTTATAGAAGTTTATCAAATATAAACATCTATATTTATATTTTCAATTTATACTTTAAAAGACATTTTTATTAAATATATTATATACAAATTTTTGTTTTTTTTTTAATTTTGAAACAAATATTTTTTTTAATGTGTAGCATTAAAATTATTTTAAATAATTTAGTAGTATTAACTTTGATTACAACCATAATGAAAAAAAAAAAAAAAAAAGTGAAATCTATTAAACCTATAAGGTAAACTTAAAAATATTAAATAGTTCTTCTTTTCTTTCTTATTTTTTTTCTCTTATTGACATAAAAACTCCAGTACATCCCAGCATTTCTTTTTTTTATACCTATTTTACCTATAATATTGTAATACTGTTTTTTTCTAACATTTTTTAACCAGCTAAATGACAAAATTCTTGAATTTTCTTTATTAACTAAATTACAAGGAGTGTTTAATTTCATATTTTCAGTACTATTTCTTTTAATAATATTTTTACTTTTTATTTCGCTATATATATCTTTTTTATCATATATAATACAATTTGTCAAAGGAATACAGAAATTTTTATCACTCAGCATATTTTTCATATTGCCTTCATTTACATGTAGAGTTGTTTTAAAACTTAAAATATTATTTGTATCAAAATTCTTATTTAGTAATTGTAAAGATGTAAAACTAACTTTGCATTTATTGTTATAGAATTTTCCAATTAATGGAAATATATTTATTTTTTTGATCATTTTAGTATACAAAATCTTATTAATTAAACAGATATTAATTTATGTATGCATATAAGTTTAAAAATAAAATAATCATATATGTTATTCTAAAGTTAAGAGAAAAAAAAAATTAAGTATACTATGTATAATTAAAAAAGAAAAAAATTATGTTTTTTAATTTAAAAATGAAAACATTATTTTAATATAAGATATTATTTTATGCAATAGATACAAAAATTTTTATTAAAAAAATGGAGTGCTCATGCATTATAACATTTTCATTGAGTTTTAGAATTCGTAAGTATTTTAATCATTTATATATGATTTTAAAATAAATTTACTATGTTACTAAAAAAATTAAAATATAATTAATATTATAATTTAAAACCTATCGTATCTTAATTGTTATTTCTTATTTTTATTTTTTCATGTATTTATATAAAATTTCTTCTAAAAACTTTTCAAAAAAAAAAAATAAGCTTAAATATTTATATCTATATATTCATCATACTTTTGAAAAAAAAAAAAAATAAATTTAATAACTATCTTAAGTTTATTAATTCCATTTTTGTTCACATAAATATTTTAATTTTAAAAGTTTTTTTTTTTTTCAAAAAGACAAAACACATTACCCTCATTTTCTTCTAAATATATTTAGAAAATAAATACCATAAAAAGAAGTATGCATTTATAAGCACATAATTTATACGAGGAAAAAGCAAGCAGTAAAAAAAAAAAGGAAATTTTTTTTTTTTAAATGTTTTCTTTCATAATTTTATGGTTTTTAAAATAAAATTTATTAAGAAATAACAAATAATGTTAAATATAAATACCTGATAAAAATATTAATATAATTATTATAAAATAACTTTTTTTTTTTAAGGTAACCCTATTTGGAGAAATAGCACATAAAAATTTATATAATAATAAAGCATGATTTAGTGAAATATATTACATAATCTCATTTATTTTTATTTTTTTTTTAATAATTAAATATTTTTCTTTTCTTCTTTTTCAGTAAATTATATAATTTTGCTCTTTTTAAATGAACTATGCTAAAAAGTGAAAATATAAGTTAAGAGAATTTTATGTTTATATAAAATATGTTGCATTTAAAAAAAAAAAATAGCTATTTAAAAATATAAATCATTAACTTTTTTTTTTTTTTTTTAATTTTCATTTAAAATTATATTCTTTTTTCAATTTTATTTTTTTTTTTTTTATTTATATGCACACAAAAAAAAAAAAAATATATATATTTTATTATTATTAATTAAATGATTTTTTATCATAAATTATCAAAAATTTACTTAAATAAACCTTTATAGTATATTCAACTAATCCCTCTTTGACATTACACTTAAAATAAAAAAAAATTAGAATAAATATAACATCCTATATAGTAATAAAATAGAGATCTTTTATAGATTATCAAAAATTAAGTGAAAATTATATAAATAAAAAACAATAAAATTTCCTTTTGGAATACCTACTAACACCATCTCCTATATATAAGTTTTACTTTTAAATATAACCTATTGAAAATGGTAAAGAATATATGATTTGCTGAAAATTATGTATGAGATTAAAATAGATACATTTTTAAAGATTTTATTATTTTCTCTTATATTAAGTTAAAAACTTTTCTGCATTTTATTGTTTTCATTCATTTTATATTCCATTTTTAAACCTAGCTTTATGCATTTATTTGAAATGTTTTTTTTTTATTCATTTTTTTTTAAATAATATTCTCAGTATTTTTCTTTTTTACCTTTTTATATGTAAATATTAAAGGAATTTTCATGATTTACGTTATATTATATTAGTGAGAAAATATTATTTTAAATCTATATTTTTTTAATAAATTATATATAGTATTCACAGTATGAAAATGTCATTTTTATACTAATAATTTAATTCCTTAAATAATTTATATATTCTACACAAGTTTTTAAATTTATATTTTGTTACATATTATTTTTAATATATAAAATTTATAGTAATATATTACATTAGGATATAATAAGATATATAAAATATTTAGATTTTAATAATTACATCCATTCATAATTTTTAGTATATATATGTTGTTCTTTTCTATATATTATTCCTATATAATATACTTAATACAATTTTTATTTCTCTATAATTTATTTTTTTTTTTTTTTTTTTTTTTTTCTTTAAACATTTATTATGTAAAAGAATAATAATTTGTAAATAAAGAATTAATTAAATTTAAATATATATACTTAAATGAATATATAATAATTTTTTTTTTTTTATATGAATTAGGCTGCAAGTACAGAATACAGAAATACACCTCTTAAGTTACCAGCTGATGTTGCTGAAGAATTAGCAACAACTGCCAAAAATCTTGTTGCTCCAGGAAAGGGTATTTTGGCTGCAGATGAATCTACACAAACAATTAAAAAGAGATTTGATACAATAAAATTAGAAAATACCATAGAAAATAGAGCTAGTTATAGAGATTTATTATTTGGAACAAAAGGTTTAGGTAAATTTATCTCAGGTGCAATTTTATTTGAAGAAACTTTATTTCAAAAAAATGAAGGAGGAACCCCTTTAGTAAATTTGTTACATAACGAAGGAATAATACCAGGAATTAAAGTAGACAAAGGATTGGTTCCAATTCCATGTACAGATGATGAAAAAGCAACGCAAGGATTAGATGGTTTAGCAGACAGATGTAAGGAATACTATAAAGCTGGAGCAAGATTTGCCAAATGGAGAGCTGTTTTAGTAATTGATCCAGCTAAAGGAAAACCAACAGACTTATCTATTAATGAAACAGCATGGGGATTAGCTAGATATGCAGCTATTTGCCAACAAAATCGTCTTGTTCCAATAGTTGAACCAGAGATATTAGCAGATGGTGCACACACAATTGAAGTATGTGCAAATGTAACACAAAAAGTTTTATCTTGTGTTTTTAAGGCATTGAATGATAATGGTGTCTTATTAGAAGGAGCATTATTAAAGCCAAATATGGTAACAGCAGGATATGAATGCCCAAAACCCGCAAAAACACAAGATGTTGGTTTCTTTACCGTAAGAACATTAAGAAGAACCGTACCACCAGCTTTACCAGGAGTTGTGTTTTTGTCTGGTGGACAATCAGAAGAAGAAGCTTCTATTAATTTAAATTCAATCAATGCATCAGGACCACATCCATGGGCATTAACTTTTTCGTATGGAAGGGCTTTACAAGCTTCTGTTTTAAATACATGGAAAGGAAAGAAGGAAAATGTTGCAAAAGCTAGAGAAGTTTTATTGCAAAGAGCCGAAGCTAATTCTTTAGCTACATGCGGAAAATATAAAGGAGGAGCAGGTGGTGAAAACGCTGCTACATCATTATACGAGAAAAAATATGTTTATTAAATATGAGAAAAAAAAAAAAAAAAAAAATTAAAAAAATAAAATAATTGATATATATATATAATTTATATATCTATTCTTATTTCATAGAACTGTGTATTTGTATTATTAATGTAAATTTTTATTTTTTGAATTTCTAGCTATTACAATACTAGTATACACAATTATAATTTTTATAATTAAATTATTTGGATAAATATATACATATATATATTATATAGAACATTTTTTTTTTTTAAGAAAGTGTCAAACTATGAAATAAAAGTTTTTTTATAAATAAAAAAAAAATTATGTAGATATAGATATGTGTAAAATTTTTTCCTCCTATTTTTAAAAATACCTAAAAATTTCAAATTTTTTATATTTTTCTTAATTTTTTTTTTTTTTTTCTTTAAGATGATAAAATATTATTGCAATATGTATTTTAATAAAAACTGAATATTTAGTATTATATATTAAGAGTTATTTAAATGTCTAAAAAAAAGAAAATTCTTAAATTTTAGCATATTAATTATTGTAGAAAAAAAAAATAAAATTATAATTGCAAAAATTCTTTTATTATTTAAAATAGTAATTTAATGTATACGTGAAGTTGTATTTAAATAAATGATAATTTTTTTAAAATAGAATAAAAGAAACGTAATTATTTAGTACTTTTAAAGTTTATATTATTTTCTATATTCTATTACTCTAAAAAAAATAAAATAAATAATTTAGAAGTATAGATATAAAATATAAATTTAAAATTAAAAAAAAAGCACTAATGTTATGGAAAAAGTTGATTATAAAACAAAATTTTTAATAGATAATAGTGAACGTATTCTTGTTGTTTAATACTTTTAATATGTTATTATGTATAAACATAATATTTTTTACATTAACATTATTACAAAAAAAAAAAAAAATAAAAAAAATAAAAAAAATAAAAATTATTATTTTTACAAAAAAATATGTCCAATTTTTAAATTCACATTTATAAAGTCCTCTTCACAATTTAATTTTAAATTATTCCCTTTTTTTCCTTTAAATGTAGATAACATAACTATTAAAAATAAAAATTTATATAATGTAATGAAAAATGTTAATGCAAAAATTGATGCTAACTAAATTAAAAGCATAAATCAAAAAAAAAAAAAAATAAAAAAAATAACCAAGCTATATTTATTTGTTTGTTTTATTTATATTTACCTTAAGACACAACCTAACCAAGTAGGAATTAAAATTTTTTTGTTTTCTCTAAAAATTAGTTTACTACAAAAATTTAAAGGGTAATGAAAATAAAAAATAAAACATATGTTATTTAATAAATTAAAAAAGAAAAACTTTAATTTTATATAATTTTATATTAGAGATATTAAAATAATATAACCTAACTGATGACGCAAAAATTCCTGATATAATAGGTGGTATTATGCTGTTATCCATACTTTTATTTAATTTACAACAACAAAATGTGCACACACCTATATAAAATGATCAAAGATAAAAATTATTGCAAATTATATATTATTTATTTAAATTTTACTATATAAAAATTTGGTACATATCAAATTATATAAAAAACAATTTCACATTTTTATTTAAATATTCATATCTTTAATATTATATATATTATATATATTATATATATTATTTATATTATTTATATTATTTATATAAGATGTTTTTATTTAATACATGTCCAAAATGATAATCTGAAAGCAAGAAAATTAGATATTTGTATGTTATTTTTAAAATTTAATAATATATTAAACAAGGGAAGTTTGAAAAAAAAATTTATATTTTTATTGTTGAAATTTAACTTATTATTTAATCTTGTATTATATAAAGAATGTTTTGCTAAATTAAATGAATTTTGAAGTTTTTTAGTGTTATTCTTTATATATATGTTTTTTTTTATTAAAGAAAATATAATATTATCCTTTTTATAAATATAAAATTTTCTATGGATTTCTTGTCGAAAAACATACCCAATTATAAAACCATTTATATACATACGAATAGTATAAATTGATACAACATTTTTGTATTTTATTTTATTATCTTCACATAAAATATCATTCATTTTTCTTTTTAATAAATTTTCTTTAAATGAAGGAATTATAAATCTAAAACACTAAAATATAAATATATTTAAATTAACTTTTTTTTTTTTATTTATGATTTAAAAAAATATAGAATTAAAAGAGTAATATATAAAAAAATTGTTTTGTTAGACATGATTTATTTTTTTCTTTCTATTTTGTGTAAATAACATAAATCATTTTAAAATAAGTTAAAATTTTATTTAGAAATCATGTTATGTATTTTTGTATTTAATTTCATATTTTTTTATATCCTCTTTAAAATTAACTTATAATTTATATAAAAAGAAAAAAAAAAAAAATTAAAATTTTAATTAGAATTTTTCGATGTTTTTTTAATATAAAATCTTCACATTATAATTCCTCTAATTTTTTCAATTTTATTTTCTAAATTCTTTATAAAACATAAATTTTTATTTTTTTCTATCATTAATATTTCTGACTGTTTTTTAACATCTTCATTTTTTTCATTAATTATACTAATTTTTTGTAACATATTACTTTTATTATTTTCAATATCATCAAATACCTTCTTTTTTTCTTCGTTTAAAAATTTGATCAAAATACTTTTCTTTTCTTCACATAATTTAAGAAAATAAGTACTTTTTACATTATTATTTAGAGTTTTTTCATCAATTTCAGTAGCTATGTTGTTTATTGATTTTTCAAGCTCATTTATCTATTTTAAATATATATATATTAATAAAAAAAAAAAAAAAATTTAATAATTTTATTTATACAAAAATATTTTATTTTTAAACGATTTATATATTTGTAAAAAGAAGTAAAAAATATATGATGTTTAATTACTTGCGCTTTTAAACCTATAGATACTATATTTTTTTCTTTCATCTTTTTATAAAAATAAAAAAATCCAAAATGTAAAAATAAAATTAGTCTATAAAATTACATGATTTATACCTATTAGCTTTTGAAGCTTAACTTTATATACATGTAATTTTATTTTTAATATTTATTTTATATATATATATATAAATTATTCGTATGCTTATAAAAAAAATATAAAATATTATATGTATAAATAATAATATTGTAAAATGTGCAAATTTTTTAATTCAAAAAAAAAAAAAAAAAAAAACACAATAATGTCTAATTTTTTAATATTTTAATACATGAGAATTTTTTATATTCATATCAATTATTATAAATTTTGTTAGAATAAAAATTCAAGAATTTTGGAGTTCATTATTATTACATCTTATTAATTATTTAATAGATATATATTAATATGTGTTAATCTTTTTAAATATAAAAAAAGAAATTATAGATTTTAAAGTATGTAAAAATAACTAACTTAAAATACAGGAAATAACATTGAATGCACATTTAATTTATATTACTTTTATTTTTTTTTTAAGTTTAATTTAAAATTATAAATTTTGAAAAATTATAATTATTGGTTTAATTTTAAATGTTACAAAATGCAAGAAAATTTTTTTGAGTATTTAAAATGTTTTTAAAGCTTTCTTTTATAATTGTACTAATTAAAAATTTAGAAAGAACAATCCTTCTATCATTAGAAAAGGAATTTGAAAATATAAAACACAAATTTTAAAAATATATTTTTTTATATTTACCTGTATTTCTTTTTTTTTATAAGCATATTATTCTCTTTTAAAATAGAAATATTAAATGATTCACATAAGCATAATCTTAAAACATTTCACATTTTTATTTCTAGTAGTGAAATTTTTTTTTAATAACATGCGTTGTCGAAAGATAAAAGAAATATTGGAAAAATAATTATCATTTCATAAAATATATATATTTTTTTTTTTTTTAAGGTAATTTTTTTTGCTTTAAGTATATTTAAAAATTCTAAAATCCTAAATTATGAATTTTATTAAACTTCTTAATTTTTTGTAATGATAATTGTTTATTTAGATGTTAAAAATAGAAACTACATTGAATTACGAATTTCGTATGTAGATATTTTAAAAGTTAACAATATATTAAATAGATGTATTATAAAAAAAAAATTTAATTATTATTTAAAAAAAAACATATTCATTAATATTTTTCTATTTTTTTTTTTTTTTTATATACATATTTAAATGCATTAGATGTGTGCAACCATTTCATCAATATAGAATAAAATAAAAAGGAAAAAAAAAAAATATAAAATTAAAAAAATTAAAATATAGT